GGGTGATGCCGGGCGGGCTGCGGAGAGCCCCTCAGACGAGCCAGGCTCTTGCGGTGTGTCCCATGAGAGGGGCTCGCTGCCCCCTCTGAGCCGATAAACCCCGGCCCTTCGCTTCCTCCCGTCGGAAGTCATTAACGCCGACGAGCTTTTCTGGCTGAATGGCTCCGCCGTTGACATCCAACCCTGCCGCCTTCCCGCGTTCCCTGCTGGGGAGCAGGCCTTCGGCGCTCACCATCCCTCCTCCTCCTCCTCTTTGTGCTGTCATCGCCATCCTCTGCTCCTGTGAGGATGACAACCCCCCGTTTTGGGGTGTGCCCTGGTGGGAGCGGGGCGTTTCGGGGCAGGATGCTTCCTCCTGCCCGCACCCTTTGAGCGGTACGCGGTGGGAGGCTGGGCCCTGCTGTCCTTCCTCTCCTGGTCACCTGGTCAACGGGGGGTCAATACACACAGAAAGCAAAGCTGCTTCCGTTAGCGCGGCACTCAGAATCACTGAGCCCACAGAGCTTGTAAAAATAGTACATTTTGGAGGTGTTTTTTCTCTTGCCTTCAGGGCTTTAAGCCTGCCAGGAGGTTGCAGGTTGGATTTTGAAACTCTGCTCCATCGGCGCTAGGATTGGACGAGGGTCTTTCCTCGGTTTATCATGGTTTCGGGTGTGTGCGGTGCCGGTGCTTTGGGAGGGGAGCGTGCTCATGCCGGGTGGCCTCGGCGTGTTATGGGACTGTGGGGAGCAGGGTGGGATCCTCCTGCACCGAACCCTCCTCGCCTGGTCTTGTGCAGCCGTGTGAAACTGGCCTTACTGGGCCAGTTGGTCCACGTCCCTTCACCCGGGTTCACTGCTCTGCGCCGGAGCTGCAGCCCCAGGAGGCCGCTGCCGGCTGATGGGTTCCTCTGCGCCTGGGCTGCTGTGCCCGAGCGGGAGTTTGCTGCCTGTAGAATCCTCCTTTCGCCCTACTCCAGCCCCAAAGCCGATTTTCCTCTGCCAGCACTCCTAGCACTTCCTCCCAAGGAGCTGCTGGGTTTGCCAAGCCGTGCTTAGCCCCTGCCCGCGCACCAAGGACCATGTGGCTCCTGCAGCGACCAAGGATGCTCCTCGGGTGCTCCTCCTCCCATCTCCCTTGCACGCCCCTCTTCTCTCCCGCAGGCGACCAAGCAGTTCCTGGAGGAGATCAACAAGTGGACGGGCCAGTACAATGTGTCCCCGCTCTCCTGGAACGTGGCTGTCAAGTTCCTCATGGCCCGCAAGTTTGACGTCCTGCGGGCCATCGAGCTCTTCCACTCCTACCGGGTAAGCGAGCGGGGCTGGGTACCCAGTGGTGGGGTTGGGGTGCCCGTGCTGGCTGTCACGCCGGCTCCCTGCCCGCAGGAGACACGGCTGAAGGAGGGCATCGTGAAGCTGAAGCCGCATGAGGAGCCACTGCGCTCGGAGCTGCTCAGCGGCAAGTTCACCATCCTGGTAGGCGGGGGTGTCCCTTCCCTAGGTTGCTCTGCGCGGGCGTCCTCGGCTGCCGGGGAAGCCTGACCTGGTTTTCCTCACCAGAGCGTGCGAGACCCCTCGGGAGCCTCCATCGCCCTCTTCACGGCCAAGCTGCATCACCCCAGCAAGAGCATGCAGCACGTGGTGCTCCAGGCGCTCTTCTACCTGCTGGACCGAGCAGTGGAGAGGTGAGCCTGGTACCCGAGGTACCACGTCGTACGGCCGCGGGTTCCCGGGGAGCCCCTTCCCTCATCACCGGGGCAAGGGGAGATGCTGCTGCGTGCTGAGAGTTCGGTGAAATCCCTTCGAAAGGCTTCGCAGGGGAAAGATGTGCTGTCTCTCCTGGGAATGTGGGTTTCTGAAGGTGAAATTGTGGCCGAGTCCACATGCCTCCGTGTTGTCCCATCTGTAGTTAGGGGACAGAAGGGGTCGCAGCTCCCCATGGCCTGAGATTCCCCATCTTCCCCTGGTTGGGACTCAAGCCAGTCACCCCCATGGGAAACAAAACCCCCGAGCCCTGAATCAGGCTCTTCGCAGCCTTTCCCTGCCCATGTCCACATTCCGGCTTAGCAAAGCCCCTGATTCCTGCAGGCTTTAGCCAGGGTGGGGGCAGCCCTGCCGCTGGCGAGACATAACGTGAGCCCTGCCAGAAATATAAAGCCGGGGCTGTCCCATTCCTCCTGCTGGGCTCTTTCTGGTTTTCAGCTTGCCCATTGTGGGCGGTGCAGAGCTGGGCTTAAATAAGGGTTGTGGGAAGAGGTGGTGGAGCAGCTGGGAAATGCAGCTGCAAGCTTTGGGTCCCTGAGTCCTTCTGGAAGCACAGAAGGGGATTTTGTGGGGTCGGCAAGTGGAGGATGAAGTTAGCGTGGGGCAGGTCTGCTCGTGCGGGAGCTGAGCAGTTGGATGTCGCGGGGTTGACATCGCTCTTTCGTCTCTCTCAGCTTCGAAACCCAGAGGAACGGGCTGGTGTTCATCTACGACATGGCGGGCTCACAGTACACCAACTTCAAGCTGGACCTCAGCAAGAAGATCCTCAACCTGCTGAAGGTAACGGCCGGGTGTCTGGGGACGTCAGGCGGGCCACTCGCTCAGCTGGTACCTGAAGTCCTGTGGTTTTGGTGTAAATTCTCGTGCCAGACCGTGCTGACCGCGTCTCAGCCGCAGAGCACTGGCTGTGGCCCCGCAGGACCTCAGGACGGTGTTGGGAGCCCGCGCGGCCGGACTCGGCCGGCGCGGCCGGGGCCGGATGATCAGCTGTCCCGGTGCCGGATTCCTCTCGCAGCTGCTGGCAGCGCTTTTGGGAAAACAGATGCAGATTATTTTTCAATCGTGCTGGCATTTTGTGCCTCCTCCCTTCTCCGGAAAAAAGAAATGACAGTAAATATTGGCCGGGGTGTGTTCTCCGTGCAAATTCCAACTCCCGGGCTTTACCTCTCCCCCGCGGAGCCAAACCCTCTGCCTGTCTAATTCCAAGGAAATAATTTGTTTCCGTATCGGAGCATGAAAATAAGTGCAGCCGTGGGCTCGGCATGCTTCGTATGCGGCGTTGCCACCTCGGGGACCGTCTGCTGGTCATCACTTCTGCTGGGACGCATCCCCCCGCCCCAGGCAGAGCGCGGAGAGGGGCCGGTTCCTCACCGGCGGCGTGGGTCTGAGCCCCTCCTGCCCGCAGGGTGCCTTCCCGGCTCGGCTCAAGAAGGTTTTCATCGTGGGAGCGCCCATGTGGTTCCGCGTGCCCTACTCCATCATCAGCCTGCTGCTGAAGGAGAAGCTGCGGGAGCGGGTGAGCACGGGACCTCCCGCACGGGATCCTTGGCGGGGAGGGCTGAGCTGTTCTCCCATTGGGACAGAATGGTGTGAGCAGCCCGCGCCCCTCGGCTGCATCCGCTGGAAGCTGCTGAGCCCAAATCCACAGGGAACGGAGGCTTTCTCGGCCCTTTTCAGTATTTCTAGCAAGTATCTTGAACCCCTTTTGAAATCGCCTTCGATTTCTCCTTCCGCGGTGAGGCTGCCAGCGGCAGCAAGTTAGGGCGATGGTAAATGATTAAAAGGAAAAGAAACTCTGCTGAGTGCGCCGGAGAAAAGGGAAACTTGAATACCTGTGCTTGGGCCCCGTCCAGCAAAGCCAAAAGTACCTAAAGAAATCCCCTCGGCGTCAGCGGTGCCACTGACAGAGCCCGTTTCCAGCCCGCCGTCTCCCTGGGCTGGACTTTGCCCCTCTGCTTTTGGGAGGAGCTCGGAGCTGCTTGCAAAGTCGGAGCCGGGTGTCGGTGTGGGGTACATGGAGGTGGGGGACAGCGCCTGCCCCACCGCTGGCGTTCCGCCCCTGTCACTGTCCCCAGCCGACCCTCTCCATCCTTCTGGGAGTCACTCCCGGCCCTCCTTTTCCTCCCACAGGTGCAGATGGTGAAGATGTCGGAGCTGAAGGAGCACCTGCCCCGGGAGTGCCTCCCCGAGTACCTCGGGGGGTCCCTCAAGCTGGACCCTCTGAGCTGGAACTGCCGGTTCCTGCCCCAGCAGAACGGACAGCCCGACCCCCTGGATGAGCTCATCCTGGTGCCACTGGTGGCCCCCAAAGATAACGGCTCCGTCCACGTCCCCGGGCCCAAGTCCGTCACCCTCCAGGAGCTGCTGGAGCATGTCAGTCGCAAGCAGAAGCGGGGCATCTACGAAGAGTACGAAGATATTCGGCGCAGGAGCCCGGCTGGCACCTTCGTCTGCTCTTTGTGAGTCAGGGGGAGGAAGCTGGGTGCAGGCCAGCGTGGGGAGCCCGCCCCCCTCACTCCAAAAAAGCTGCATCTCCCCTGTCCCCATGCTGCTGCTGCTCTAGTGGTGGCCCAGTCGCTTCTCTGGGGTGCGGTGCTTTGGCCTAGTGCTGGAGACGCCCAGCTTAGCGCTGGAGACCCCCAGCCTAGCGATGCTGCGAGCCCCTCTG